AATACGTATGATAAAAATATCGCACACACAGGTAATTGCTATGTCTACGAAGGCTTAATGTTAGCGCCCTGTGCACATAATTTCATACCATATTAATCAGGGATAAGAGCAATATCGGAAAACGTACTTAATACCAGAAAGGTTGCGATCTGTGAAGCACAATGATAGTAACAACGAATGCAAATTACTTCTCTTGTTTCCTCTTCAACATCCTATTTTTTCTTTTTTCTTTTTTTTTTGTTAATCTATTTTAAAATAATAATAATAATAATAATAATAATAATAATAATAATAATGATAAACTCCCTGCACCACGCTGCATTTAGCGACGGGGTGTAGTGTCGATTTCATTCATTCGAACGATGAAAATGACGTAACTTGGGAGAGCCTGGCACAGGTTCGCTACAATGGTGGAACCCAGTGAGGATCGAAGTCGGCGAAGCCAGGCGGTAACGATCTTGTTAACAATCGCATTAATAAATTAAGAAGATAAATAAGAAGAATGTGATAGGTATATATGATATTGTGTAAGTAGATAGATAGATAGATAGATAGATAGATAGATAGATAGATAGATATGAACGGAATGAGATAGATAGATAGATAGATCAGTTCATACTTATTTAATTCTGTTTATATATATATATATATGTTCATGTCTCTAATTTTGTTCATATCTATCTATGTAGCTATCTATCTAATTCTGTTCATACCTATCTAACACTGTTTATATCTATGTTCATAACTCTAATTTTGTTCATTTCTGTCTATCTATCTATCTATCTCTCTCTCTCTCTATATATATATATATATATATATATATATATCACACACAAAATTAGAGATATCAACATAGACAGATATAGATAATGCATAGATAATAAACATAGATAGATAGATAGATAGATAGATAGATAGATAGATAGATAGATAGATAGATATACTGTTGTAGATAGATATAAACAGGCTGCCATAGATAGATAGATAGATAGATAGATAGATAGATAGATAGATAGATAGATACGACGAGTCCATAAGATAGATAGATAGATAGATAGATAGATAGATAGATAGATATACTGTTGTAGATAGATATAAACAGGCTGCCATAGATAGATAGATAGATAGATAGATAGATAGATAGATAGATAGATAGATATAAATATACTGTAGTAGATAGATATAAACAAGCTGTGATAGATAGATAGATAGATAGATAGATAGATAGATAGATAGATAGATAGATATAAAAGCAGAACGAGATAGATATTATGGCACATAGATATGCACACATTTTGAAAGAAAGAAAGAAAGAAAGAAAGAAGGAAAGAAAAAAAGAAAGAAAGAAGGAAAGAAACAAAGAAGCGATAAACAAAACGTCCTGCTCCATCAACATTACCGACTCCCATTCTGTGAAGAGAAAACTTCCTGCCTATATAAATACATATATACATATATATATATATATATATATATATATGTAGGTGTGGGTATGTGCGCGTGCACCAGCGTTGTGAAACCTGTTTGGGGGTGTGTTATGAAGAGTACCCCGAGGTTGCGAAACGAACAAAAGGTCCTCACCTACCTGCTACAGGGTAAAGACCAGACATCAGTGTTGATATACTCCGTTTCGATATCTTCTTCGTCGTCCTCATCTTCGCTGTCACAACGACCGGCTATATCCATACGCAGGTGATGCATTGTGTTGCCTTGTTTGAAAGAAACTAGAAGAGCCTTGGCTTTCTCTTGCTTTGCCGTGTGCTGCTCCTGCGTGCGTGACAGTCTGCGTGGCCGGCTGGCTGTCTGCCTGTAGAGATGTTCGTCGGCCGGTCGGTCCGCCTGTCTCGGCGTGTGCGTACGGAAGAAGGTAAAGAAAAAAAAAAGACAGCAAGGTGTATACGGATAGATAGATAGATAGATAGATAGATAGATAGATAGATAGATAGATAGATAGATAGATATGAAAGCAGAACGAGATGGATATTATGGCAGATAGATATGCACAGATTTTGAGAGAAAGAAAGAAAGAAGCGATAAACAGGATAGATAGATAGATAGATAGATAGATAGATAGATAGATAGATAGATAGATAGATATGAACAGAATTAGATAGTAACAGAATTAGGTAGATAGATATGAACAGAATTAGATAGATAGATAGATAGATAGATAGATAGATAGATAGATAGATAGATAGATAGATAGAAACAAATTACGATATGAATAGATAGATAGATAGATAGATAGATAGATAGATAGATTACGGAATATGATTGATACCGAACAGAATGACATAGATAGATAGATAGATAGATAGATAGATAGATATGAACAGAATTAGATAGATAGATAGATAGATAGATAGATAGATAGATAGATAGATAGATAGATAATATTAAGTAAGATAGATAGATAGATAGATAGATAGATAGATAGATAGATAGATAGATAGATAGATAGATAGAATTAAATAGATATGAACAGAATTAGATAGATAGATAGATAGATAGATAGATAGATAGATAGATAGATAGATAAAAGCAGAACGAGATGGATATTATGGTAAATAGATATGCACAGATTTTGTGAGAAAGAAAGAAAGAAGCGATAAACAGGATAGATAGATAGATAGATAGATAGATAGATAGATAGATAGATAGATAGATAGAATTAAATAGATATGAACAGAATTAGATAGATAGATAGATAGATAGATAGATAGATAGATAGATAGATAGATAGATAGATAGATAAAAGCAGAACGAGATGGATATTATGGCAAATAGATATGCACAGATTTTGTGAGAAAGAAAGAAAGAAGCGATAAACAAGATAGATAGATAGATAGATAGATAGATCTGTTGCTAGATCTCCATTTTCAAGGGTTTTTATATATTTTTCTTTCTTTTTTTTTATCTTTCGGTCCCACTTTTTAATCGGACTATAAATATTGTTCTTAATCAATTTTTGCTTTCTTCTTTCTTTTTTTTTTTTTTTTTTTTTTTTTTTTTTTTTTTTGTTTTGTTTTTGTTTTTGTTTTGTTTTTCTCTTGTCTCTTATCGACACAACATCGAAATGGGGACACTGCACCGACATTGCATTTTAAGTTTTTGCTTCTCTTCGCTTTCTTCAACTTTTTTTCTTCTTCTGCGAATTCGCATTCATCTCCTTTTTTTTTCTTTTTTCTTTTCTTTCTTTCTTTATTTTTCTTTTATTTTTTCTTTTATTTTTTTTTTTTTTTTTTTTTTTTTTTTTGCAGTCTGCTATTTGAACATCTTTCGCTTTTTCTCACAGTTTTTTTCTTTTTTCTTTTTTCTTTTTTTCTTTCTTTAATGTCGTTCCCAATAATTTTTTTTTTTTTTACTTGGTCTCTTTTTTTTTTTGTTTTTACTCTAAAATCCCTGCACTTTTTGAACTGCCAGCATTTTTTTTTTCTACGGGTTGCATATTTTTATTTATTTCTTCTTATTAAGCGATACGAAAAAAAAAAGTCGTATTTCCCCCCTCCTTTTTTCTTCTTTATATCCCTGTATATATTTTAGTTTCCGCCATGTTTATATTTCTTACATTTTTGAGTTCAGGGTGTGGGAAGCGGGAGGGGGCAGTTCGTCATAGTGTAGTTGTTAGCGATCTTGTCTTCCTAGATCAATTACGATACAGTGGCTAGAGTTCGATCCTCACCGGGAGTTCACTTGTGACTACTTCCAAGCTATGCTTACGAACGAATACTCCTCTTTCGTTTCTCCTCTTTCAAAGCATTTATCTTTCTCTCCTAACGTGTCTTTCTGTCAATCTTTATCATCTGCTCCCTCTTTTTTCTCCAATAGTTACACACGTACATTCCCCTTTCTCTTTGTCTCTCATTCTCTCTCGTTTCTCTCTCTCTCTCTCTCTCTCTCTCTCTCTCTCTTTCGTCTCTCCTGTTTTCTTTCTCACTGTTCGGTTACTCCTTTTCATTTCCCTCGTAAACCCATACGCTTTATCTTTCGTTACTCTCTGTCTCCATCGCTCGTCTCTCTCTCTCTCTCTCCCCTTCTTCCTTTTCTCTTTATTCCATCTTTTCCCTCCTTTTCATTTCACTTATTCTCTCTCTCTCTTTCTCTCTCTCTCCACTTACTATGCACACACCTTTTTCGCTACTCTTTCTCCTAATTTTAGCTTCCTAACCCAGAAATCGAACATATCCTACTCTCCATCTCCCTCCCCCCTCTCTTTCTCTGTCTCAGTGTCTCACTCTGTCTGTTTGTCTGTCAGTCTCTCCCTCTCTCTCTCTCTCTCTCTCTCTCTCTCTCTCCTGTGCTCTTTTTTCCTGGGAACTTCCCTCTTCTCTTGTTGTTGTTGTTGCTTCTTCTTCTTTTCTCTTCCCTCCTCCTCCTTTTTTTCTTCTTCCTCTTCCTTCCTCCTCCTCCTCCTTTTCTTCTTCTTCCTCTTCCTTCCTCCTCCTCCTCTTTCTTCTTCTTTCCCTCCTCCTCCTCCTCCTCTTTTTCCTCCTCCTCCTCCTTCGTCTTCCCGTCCTCCTCCTCCGTCTCTTCCTCCTCCTCCTCCTTTTTCTTCCCCTCCTCCTCCTTCTCTTCCTCCTCCTCCTCCTCCAACTTCTTCTTCTTCTTCTTCTTCTATCTCGTCCGCCTACTATCTTTGTTCTTTCTACCCTTCCATTCCTCTTGACGCCGTAAGAAAGAAAGACTAGGGACTGGCTCGTGAGGCGCACAGATTGACTAAGAAAGGCGCCGTGAGAAATAAACACCGGAGAAGGTGCCGTGAGAAGAAGTGGTTGACTAAGGTAAGGTCCGTGAGAAAACAAAATATTGTGGAAAGCGCTTTGAGGAGAGGTTGACTGGTGAAGGTGTCGTGAAAAAAAAAAAAAACACTGCGAACAGTGTCGTGAGAAGGGATAGGTTGTATAAGGAGGGCCCCGTCAGAAAGACTTGGGAAGTCCGTTGAGAAGGGGAGGGTTGACTCAAAAGGAGCCGTGAGAAAGAAAAAAGAGTGAGGAAGGCACGGTGAGAAAAAGTGGCTGACTAAGGAAGTACCGTGAGAAAGAAAGAGGAGAGAAGGCGCTGTAAGAAGGAGAGGTAGAGAGCGCCATGAGACAGAATGACTGAAGGAGGAGTAACCACGGAGAAAGAGAGTTTGAGTAAACAAGGCGCGTTGAGACGGGGAGGATTACTGAAAAGATGCCTGAAGAAGAATAAAAGACTGAAGAAGGCGCCGTTTGAAGGAGTGGTTGATTAAGGAAGGTACCCTGAGGAAGAATAAAAGACTGTGGAATTCGCCATGAGAAAGAGTGGTTAACTAAAAGTTGCCCTGAAGAAAAATAAAAAAAACTGAAGAAGGCGCCATGAGAAAGAGTGGTTAACTAAGAAAGGGGCCCGAAGAAGGATAAAAGACTGAAGAAGGCGCCATGAAAAAGAGTAGTTAACTAAGAAAGTGGCCCTGAAGAAGAATAAAAGACTGAAGAAGACGCCATGAAAAGGAGTGGTTGACTACGAAAGGTGCCCTGAAGAAGAATAAAAGACTGAAGAAGGCGCCATGTGAAGGAGTGGCTGATTAAGGAAGGTACCCTGAGGAAGAAAAAAGACTGAAGAAGGCGCCGTGTGAAGGTGCTATTGATTAAGGAAGGTGCCCTGAAGAAGAATAAAAGTGTTTGATTAAGGAAGGTGTCCCGAGGAAGAAGAAAAAATGAGGAAGGCGACGAGAAAAGGAGGGGTTAACTAAGGAAGGTGCCCTGATAAAGAAAAAAAGACTGAGGAATACACCGTGAAAAGGAGTGGTTGACTGAGTTGGTACCCTGAAAAAGAATAAAAGAATGAAGAAAGCGCTGTGGGAAGGAGTGGTTGATTAAGGAAGGTGCCCAGAGGAAGAAAAATACTGAGGAAGGCGACGAGAAAAGGAGTGGTTAACTAAGGAAGGAGCACTGAGAATGAATAAAAGACTGAGGAATATACCGTAAAAAGAAGTGGTTGACTGATCAAGTTACCCTGAAAAAGAATAAAAGACTAAAGAAAGCGCCGTGTGAAAACGTGGTTGATTAAGGAAGGTACCCTGAGGAAGAATAAAAGACTGAAGAAGGCGCCGTGTGAAGGAGTGGTTGATTAAGGAAGGTGCCATGAGGAAGAATAAAAGACTGAAGAAGGTGCCGTGAGAAGGAGAGTTGTTCAAGGAAGGTTGAGGAAAAATAAAAGACTGAAGAAGGCGCCGTGTGAAGGAGTGGTTGATTAAGGAAGGTGCCATGAGGAAGAATAAAAGACTGAAGAAGGTGCCGTGAGAAGGAGTAGTTGTCTAAGGAAGGTACCCTGAGGAAAAATAAAAGACTAAAGAAGGCGCCGTGTGAAGGGGTAGTTGATTAAGGAAAGTACTCTGAGGAAGAATAAAAGACTGAAGAAGGCGCCGTGTGAAGGAGTGGTTGATTAAGGAAAGTACTCTGAGGAAGAATAAAAGACTGAAGAAGGCGCCGTGTGAAGGAGTGGTTGATTAAGGAAGGTACCCTGAGGAAAAATAAAAGACTAAAGAAGGTGCCGTGAGAAGGTGTAGTTGTCTAAGGAAGGTACCCTGAGGAAGAATAAAAGACTGAAGAAGGCGCCGTGTGAAGGAGTGGTTGATTAAGGAAGGTGCCCTGAGGAAGAAAAATACTGAGGAAGGCGACGAGAAAAGGAGTGGTTAACTTAGGAAGGTGCACTGAGAATGAATAAAAGACTAAGGAATATACCGTGAAAAGAAGTGGTTGACTGATCAAGGTACACTGAAAAAGAATAAAAGACTAAAGAAAGCGCCGTGTATAAACGTGGTTGATTAAGGAAGGTACCCTGAGGAAGAATAAAAGACTGAAGAAGGCGCTGTGTGAAGAAGTGGTTGATTAAGGAAGGTGCCATGAGGAAAATAAAAGACTGAAGAAGGTGCCGTGAAGAAGTGGTTGATTAAGGGAGGGAAGAATAAAAGACTGAAGAAGAGAAGGAGTACCCTGAGGAAGAATAAAAGGTGAAGAGTGGTTGATTAAAAAGACTGAGGAAGAATAAAAGGTGCCGTGTGAAGGAGTGGTTGATTAAGGAAAGTACTCTGAGGAAGAATAAAAGACTGAAGAAGGCGCCGTGTGAAGGAGTGGTTGTTTAAGGAAGGTACCCTGAGGAAGAATAAAAGACTGAAGAAGGCGACGAGAAAAGGAGGTTAACTAAGGAAGATCACTGTAAGTATTTCAACCATGAGGATATCATATTTTTCCTCGTCTTTTGTTGTCTATCTATCTATCTATCTATCTATATATATATATATATATATATATATATATATATATATATATATATATATATATATATATATATATATATATATATATCACCTACTAATCAGACAACGCCCACTTACTGCTTCTTTTAAAATTTAATTCTCATTTCTTCTGTTACGAATTCTCTCAATATTTTCCTAAAAAAAAAACCCAAAAAAACCGGCATCTCTCTCCTCACTCTTTCTTACTTTCTCTCGCCTTCTCTCTCTCTCACACACACACACACACACCCTCACCACTCTCTTATTTTCTTTCCTTCTCCTTCTCCTCCTCACTATTTATGCACTCTTTCTGTCTTATTTTCACTCCTCCGCCTCTCTTTGTGTACTCTTTGTCTCAATTAGCATATATTTTCCCGCCAAGGCGTCTTACCTTTTGCCCAATTAACAACAATAAGATTACAATGATTCCTTCTCTTAACCTTCCATCATTCGTCTTTTTTATCATAATTATTATTATTATCATCATTATTATTATTATTATCATCATCATCATTATTATTTTTATCATCATCACCATTATTATCATTATTATCATCATCATCATCGTTATTATCATCATCATCGTCATCATCATCATTATCATCAACGTCATCGTTATTATTATCCTCATTATTATCATCATCATTATTATTATTATCATTATCATCATCATTATTATTATCATCATCGTCATCATTATTATCATCATCATTATTATTGTCATCATCATTATTGTTATTATCATTATCATCATCATTATTATCATCGTCATCATTATTATTATCATTATCATCATTATTATCATCATCATTATTATCAACATCATCATTATTATCATCATCTTCATCTTTATTATTATTATCATCATCATCATCATTATTATTAGCATCATCATCATTATTATTATCATCATTATTATCAGCATCATCATTATTATCATCATCATCGTCATCATTATTATCATCATCATTATTATTATCACCATCATCATTATTATCATCATCATCGTCATCATCATTATCATCATAATTATTATTATCATCATCGTCATCATTATTATCATCATCATCATCATTATTATTATTATTATTATTATTATTATTAAGTGAGACAGTAGAACGCCGATATAACGTTGTATTATAAACATTATATCATCATTATTTACATTCTGCTGATTTGCTTTTTCATACTGTCTTTTTCAAAGCTTTTTACCCGAGTCCAAGGTAAGGGAATGGTTTTCTTGTAAGGTCATTGAGCATATAACTTTGGGGCCTTTTTTTTTCTTTCTTCTGAATATATGAGCGTTTCTCGTAAAGCAGAACCTTTTTTAAGCGATTTCCTAGGATTTTCGAAATGCGTGTACCTCTATTCTTTGCAATCAATCCTAGTGCTCCTATTATTGTTGACTACTGCTTGTGTCTAAATATGATATCCTTGCAATTTCTATTTCCAGGACTTCGTATTTTGTAATGTCCATTTCTATTTAAACAGCGTTTATTTATTTATTTTATTTTTTTATTTTTTTTTTTAGAAGTCTTATATGATTTTATCTGGGTTTTATTATCATATCTGGTATACAAAGACTGAGCAGTGAAAATGAGGAAAGAAGGCTTGGTGAATTTAACACTCACAGTAAATAAAAAGCGAGACAGGAAGACTGAATAACCTATCATACTTCATGGTATAAATGAATGGCTGGAACCGAACTGGGAGGGATAGTCAGGCGATAAACATTGCTTCGAAGTGAAAGTTGTGGAAAGCCATCATCCTGAAAGGTCATGTCACATAGAAGAGTCTGTACAAGTATTTTAACAGAAAACTTAAAACATATATAAGAAGAGAAATTTATTTTAAGTCTAAATTTTGTTTATATTTATACTAGATATTGTTTTTTTTTTTTAAAAAAAAAAAAAAAAACTAAGTAAAGAAATATGTATTTTAATAATGTAGGTCCTTTCCGAGCAAGTTGAGGTTCAGCTTAAACAAATTCACGTCATCAGCACGGATGACGGGAACAGCTTTTTGTGTTTGGTTTCGTTTCGTTTCGTTTCGTTTCGTTTACGGCATATTACCATGAAAAAAATATATAATCAGCATTAAATAGCCACTTTAAGGTTAACCTGAATGTGTCATTTAATACGGATATCATTTTTTTTTTTCCTGGTAATATTTTTGTATTATCAAAGATCTATTTCTGGTAATATTTTTTCTTCAAAAATGTATAGCTGGTAATATTATTTTCAAAAATGTATTTCAGTAATTTTTTTTTTTCAAAAATGTATAGCTGGTAATATTTTCAAAAATGTATTTCAGTAATTTTTTTTTCAAAAACGTATAGCTGGTAATATTATTTTCAAAAATGTATTTCAGTATTTTTTTTTTCAAAAACGTATAGCTGGTAATATTATTTTCAAAAATGTATTACAGTATTTTTTTTTTCAAAAACGTATAGCTGGTAATATTATTTTAAAAAATGTATTTCAGTAATTTTTTTTTTCAAAAACGTATAGCTGGTAATATTATTTTAAAAAATGTATTTCAGTAATTTTTTTTTTTTTCAAAAACGTATAGCTGGTAATAGTTTTTCTTCTTCAAGAATTTATTTCTGGTAATAATTTTTTACAAAGTTTTTCTGGTATTAAATCCTATTTTTACACTTTCATAAAGCTTTTTACCTCAATTTCGGGGTTAACAATTTGCCCATTGCTGGGACCCTAACAGGTGCTGCCACCCCGGGTCAGGGCGGACCTGGGAACACCAGCAATTAAGAGGTGGTTCCATGCTCCTCAAAACCTCCTGATCAGAGGCCTTGCTGTTGGACGTAGTTTATCGTCTTACCCAGGACGCGGATGTAGTTTATAGTCATACCCAGGACCGAGGTTTTGGTATAACTGGAAGCTTCTATTCCTGATCCTGCACGTTGTCTGCGAATTTAGTCATCAACGCCATCATCATAAAGGAAGCGATCAGCAAAGAAAAAATAAAATTCTTGGATACGAGATAAAGCTGACGAGGCTATTGTTTTTCTTGTTGCTTTTTTTTTTTTTTTTTTTGGCCCGGGTGGTGGGTGATTTAAGCAAATTAAGATTTTTTCCTCGGTACCAACAAACAATTCTATTATTATCAAGATATCTGGACAAACTATAAATTATCATTATCTTTGTAAAGCAATCGATAAAAAAAAGTAGAGTGAATTAATATCATTTTATCTTGGACATTTAGAAACATTGGCAAGAGCGCGTACTTCCACTAGTATACATATACACGTTTCAAATATCTGTCTATATTTCTGAGATGAGGTATTATGTACATTATTTACATTATTCGGACTATTGTCCTCATCTTTGTCGCCATATTTATTACAACGTTTCGGCCCTTCAGTATCTGTCTATATTTCTGAGATGAGGTATTGTGTACACTATTTACATTATTCGGACTATTGTCCTCATCTTTGTCGCCATATTTATTAAAACGTTTCGACCGTTGTACGCACCGGCCTTCTTCAGGTGGTTGTAATCCTTTATTTCGCTAACTGACATAAACATTGGCACGTGAAACTAGAACAGTCTACCCCAGTGAGCGAAATGAAGGGTTCGACATTCCAACCATCCGGCCGAAACGTCGTAATAAACATGGCGACAAAGATGAGGGCTATGTTCCGAATAATGTAAATAAGATTCAAATATTCTTCTACTTCTATGTACCGTGTTTCTTTGCGGTTTATAGCTCTCCACGTCGTCCAATCATTTGTAGCTCTTAATAGGTTTGTCTTGTTACAATCTTTTTCTTTTCTGCCATTCATTTATTTACGCCATTTCGGCAGATTAATCTCTGTTTTCTGGCCTTCTGTATGCCTTGTGAGTGTCAAATTCTCTAAGCACTCTTTCCTCATTATATGTTCAAGAAATGCCAACTCTCTCTCGTTCTGGTTGTAAGTATGATCGTCCGCTTTTTGCCATTTTCCTTAAAAGTTAATCGTTACCAACAAGGTCGGTTCATGTTATTCTCAGCATCCTTCTGTAGAATTACATTTAGGTTGCCTCAAATTTCTTCTTCATCCGTGAGAAGATTGTGAGGACCGCATTCTTTTTCGTTGATTTTGTTTTTGTTTCTAACGAAATTGGAATTATTTGGTTAAGGCAATTATGTATAGTGATTTTCCAAGCGTAGCTTAGATGTGGCACAAGGCCGAAATTAGCGGGTACCCAGTGAGGATCGAACTCACTACTCGGTCATAATTGTTCTAGCGAACCAAGCTTGTTAACCATTACACCGCCTCGAGGTGCCCCAAGGCAATTATGTATATTCCACAAAAGGGATTACTGGTTCAAAATTAAAAACAAAAATACTGGGATTGTAAATGCTGATTTATTAAACTAAGGAAGTCGATCCCACTGGCTTGTTTGCCACAACAGATCCCCCTGTTACCATTTTTTTTTTTCATTTCTATGGAGACAATTTCTTCTCCTGCACTTCCTGCTTCTAGGTATTTAGATTTCTCTTCCGAAACGATTTGGCACTTCCCTGTCAACTTTAATCGTTTCAAAATTCAAAAAATAGTATTTGATGCCGATTAGACTTTTTCAGGCCCTTTTTTCTTTTTTTTTTTTTTCCCCTCCGTCCGTCGTATAAGCCATATGTAGGTTTACTAATTTTACTAATTACTAAGTTCGACAGATTGTCGGAATTTGGGCCCAAGAAATTGGGGTGCGTCTTATATACTCTTCCGTCTTATACACCCGTGCGTCTTATATGCCGTTAAATGCACGGTAAATTTAGTGCCACGTTTTTAATTTTTTCTTTTTTTTTTTGCAAAATACTCCGTCTTTAACAAAGACTGTCAAATTTTCCTCAATTTTTTCTTTGATTTTTTTTGCTGAATTTTTATGCGTCTTGTATATTCTTACGTCTTAGTGGCTTTATTGCCTTGATCAAAGTGAAATGATTAAAATAACTTGAGCATTAACTAAAACGATAATTATATATTTATAATTTGTTCATCTTAACCTCTTCAAGTTTAGAGTCAACCATTATCTATTCTTTAAATTATATATGGCTTTGTATCTATTGATATCTTGTTTTATTAATTCATGTTTATTTTTCGCTATCATTAATAGTGATTTTTTTTCTTTTTCTCTTATTCTTTCACACTCAGTAACCCCCTTTGCGTCTTAGTGTCTTCATTGCCTTGCCTGGGCTGAAAATGATTGAAAAAAGAAAAAAAAAATAGTCGTTTATCATAACTGCATCCACAAAAGAAAGTATTCTATTTCTACAGGAGCCTGATCAGACCAAAAATGGAGTATAGCTGCTATATCAGGACTGGAGCTGCCAAATCTTCACTTTCCAGCCTTGACAGAGTTCAAAACCGTTTACGCGTCCATGTGGTTGATGAAGTATATTCCATCCTACAACCCATTTCCCACAGTTGAAAACGTTGCTAGCCTCCCATTCTTTTATCGCTATTTCCAGGGCAGATGTTCAGGTGAGACTCCATTCCTTAGTTCAACCAGTTCATAACTTACCAGCTTGGACCCGCCATCCCACGTACCCTGCGTCGACTCATCCTCGTTCTCATCGTATTCCATTTGTAAGGAGGAAGTTCTTGCCATGAACGGTGTTGTGGATTCTGGGACGAAATCGGGTACCAATAAATAACAAACGCCAAGAAGGAATATAGGGAAATAAATGTATTAATGTAATAATACAAACTGGTAATGCAGGTTAGTAGTTCCAGGAATGCGGGTTAGTAGCAAAATATATATATAAAGTCTTTGGTATCGACGTATCACTGTATGACTTCTTACTGAGTCTACGTGCTTGCCCACTGTGACTCTTGCTCGTTACGTTCGACGGTCTTTCTCGTTCTTCTCCCGGGTATTCACAAGCAGTAGTATATGTATATCCTGGGTGAGTCCATTTGTGTACAAAGGGGAGAACCCCTCAGCAAACTGTTACGTTGGAGACACCCTAAAGAAGAATACTTCCCCAATCACTATAAACTTAACCGCTTCAAGTTTAGGGCCAATCTTTTTCTTTTTATATATATATATATATATATATATATATATATATATATATATATATATATATATATATATAATTATTTATTTAAAATATGATTCCAATTCGCGACATAAGAGGTCTCATGTTTCAAAACAAGAGCCGAAAACTTCAATATAATTATTTAAATTAAATTGAGTTAAAGTGAGTTCTGTTCCATCTTCAAAGGAAATTTTTTTTGGAATACCGTATTTCT